CCTTTCTGCTTTACGTTCCCTAAGAATCTCCATTCTACGTGCCCTGTGCAGGCTTCCAGAAGGGAACGTAGAATCTTCGACCGCGGCAGCCGCGGCCGCGCTTGCTCCTCGTTCTACGGCCGTCTGCTCAATAATTTACTTTACTGTATTTTTCAATATGTTCTCGATTCAGTCTTTCACATAAGCGTGTACATATATGCGTATGCTTGTGTTTATGAGAGAAGAAGGCGAGTTAGATACATACTTTCAGTATAAAACTGGCTGTAGAACTCTTAGCGATGGGACTCTGTGCCGAGGACGGATGACTATGCCCATGCCCGTGAGTAGTGAAATATCCACCTGCTTTCGGTTTTATGTGGCGATTGTACGTTTCCATGTGCACGATTTTCATAAATTCAATTTGCGCTGCTAATCTTTGAATTTCTTCCTACAAAATACGGTTAACGATAATAGTTGAAAATTATCTACACAGGCAATTGGATCGTTTGATTTTGAATATCGTGAAAATAACTACTTAGTAACCAATTTTATAGATATTGAAATGAATCGACACTGTGCAGGACGTGACATTTACAGAGGATAACTATGTAAAGTAGAATAATACAAGGTACAATCAAAAACATTTTATAAGTAGGTAGAAGATGATTCTTTACCCATAAATGAAAAGTGTATAATGAAATTTTTTACATGTAAAATCTGTTTTCTTAGTAAAAGATCACCACCTGCTCACTTGCACAATATTCATATCAACCAGGTTCTGTTTAAGTACCTTTAGCTCCTCATTTTCTTGATGTAAATCTGTCGCTTCCTCGGATACTAAGCCGATTCCATTTAAAGAAAAGCTCGCTGTAACACCTCGGGCTCTAGCCCGACTATCCCACTGATCTCCTTGACCTCGTAGAACTCGAATCACCTAGGGTTGTATAAGATTTGAATTAAGCTGAATTAAAATAAATTATTGGATTTAATTATATGCATTTAACTGCATAATACATTGTGTCGTTTAAGTATTTAATATGCTACTTTACGACACAGAAAGACATGGTTGAAAAGTAACTACATTACCTTGGGTGCAAATACAAGAAATATGGTGACAGAAGTAGAGAGTTGTGTACGTAAAAAGCCTAATAAATACTTGATATCCGGACCAGCATGAGGGAAAATGAAAAGGCTGCAACAAATCATACAGTTTAGATTTTAATCTACAGCAGTATAGGAAACAAATAGTAGGAATGAAAAGTCATACTGAATAGCGATCATGGTTATATTCACAGCTGCTATATTGTAAATTGCATAGCTTATTAAACGGGCCTCGTTAAAGAGACTTTCTGCATTGCGAACGTTGTAACACACTTTAATGCCCCATGCAAGGAACAGAATTTCTCCTGAAAGGAAAAGTTAATTTATTATATGATATCCTGTGCTACATTTATATTTGAAATAATATGAGAAAAGAAGGAATACTAAATATTTATTTTAACCAAACTTACAACAATGAGTCGTGATATTCTCATGTTATAGTCGCATTAGAATTATTTAAATATATTTTATTAAAAATATTAGATGAAGAATATTTTTGATGACCAAAAGGATCACGAGTCAATGATGATTTTTAATATACCTTTTTTAATATGGTTTCAGGATTTATTATTACCGATTGCTAAACTATGGTCCCACCAGTTGAAAGAACATTGGTAGAATTTCAGACCATAATTATCAGCTATCACTTCGGCATATGGCGGTGCACTGAGAGTCCAAGTACCAAGATAAATTAACATTACTAACAATATAGGGACCATCCATTGCAGTAGCTGTTTGTCCGTGAGTTTCACCTTATGTGCGCTTTTCACACGGTATGTGAGAGAAACTCTACGAAAAAGAATTGAATTTAAATTTTATTGTTTATTATAACCTAGTTTCTAATCATTGAAATATTGGATATATAAAACACGCAAGAATAAAATATTTAAAGCATGACAGTCAATTTTACATGATAAAAAAATGTTATCATAAGTGTATATAATACACTATATTACATTTTCTTTATATTCTATTATCAAGTAATAAAATGTTATTTTAATAAGAATATTTGGAATATGAATTCTTTCTTCATTTACTGATTGTCGTTTATACGTTAAACTTACTATAAAAAGGAATACGAACATTTATAATAATAAATAAAAATAAAAGTCTATTTACATCTTACAACGTAAACTTACGACGTGTAAAAGTGTTGCGTACAAACTTTATAGTATATAAATATCAATCAAATTGCACGTGATGATACCTAATCGCTAAATCTATATTTCTTACCGCCAAGTTTTCATTAACAATGCAGTGTAGGAAATACAAAAACCGAGATGTCTCGTCCATTTCGTAGCGATACAAGAGTACATATCCAAAACAGGAAATATCGCAGCCATCTAAATGTACAAGTGTGCATTAAAAATAACGCACACAAATAATATATTAATATTTAAATACATAAATGGAACAGTTACGAAAGTTTATATGGGGACAGCTACGACAAAATTGTATACGTACTTCGAGATACATAATAGCACAACCCAAAAGCGTAATGGACAAAAATATCGGCGAAGCAACCTTGAACACTTTGAGCTTACGATATTGATACATGTAGACCACCAGAATAATGGTACCAAACACGCAGAAAATGGAGAAGGATAGGAGAGAGATTCTGAAAATAGAATTTTCAATAATTAATTGACATTAACAAAATTGATAAGCTGATACTTAAAATAAATTTTAAAATACATCTAGTTACCCTGTATTTTAATATTCTTGATTTCAATTAAAATTAATATTATCCATTTCAATGCTATCTATTATAACAAAGATAATGGAAGTAAAATACAACATGAAAACGTGTACAATTTAGAGATTGAGATTAATAATTAATAAAATTGAGTTAATAATTTAGTTATTGATTTTTCAAGAATCTTTTGAAACAAATAATTTCTGGAGAATGAGATAAATGTTTATGGCGAATTCATACCGGAATGGCCAATTGTAAGTGGCTAGACAGGGTTCGGGTCCCTTGCACTTGGCGCACCCTGGTGCACAACGCAAGCAACGGAACACTTTCACGTACGAATCGCTTATGTTTTCTTGCATTTCCTTCCAGGCAGCTATAAATTTACGTTTTGCTTAAGATTAATCTCATTAATAATGCATTTGACAAGAGATTGAAATTATTCACTAACCTTCGACGAGAATTCCATCAAAGGTGGATTGATGTTGGCTCGTGCTGTAATAACCTTTTCGACATTTGCATACATATGCACCTTTCGCCCAACCAGCACCGACACCATTTTGATTTATACGATTATTCGGACTTTGATATTCACACTAGAAAGTATACGAAGCAACGGTTAGAGACAAATTATTAAACTAGATAAGTTTAAGGAAGTTTTAACAATTTTTTTATGAATATAACGTGTACTAAAAATTTTGATTATATTATCTACGATTATGAGAGAATATTTGTGATGAATATAGAATTATAATGATGAATAATAGTAACCAAGACTGGTAGTACAAAAGAAAGAATAATAAAAGATATATGTAATAATAAATTGAAATCTATATAGTAAGTAATAATAATTTATAATTACTATTATAATAGTATAATAATATAACAATACTAAATAATAATACTATAGTACAGTAATACTAAATAATAGTGAAAATGGATACACATGTTAATAAATTATTATAAATATAGATGTATATAGATAAAAGTAAATGATAACAAATACAGATATGTATAATAATAAGTATTAGGAGTACAGAAAATTCTAAATGTTAATTTCAACAATTTCCATTTAAAAATGTTAAAATTACCTGAGTTGTATCGGTATGACATTTGTGCGTGCCTCTAAAAGATGCTATCTGATTACTTAGAACTTCATTTTGTTTATTCTGCGACGATGCATCGCATTGATTTACTTCTAGCCCACTGATATCGATATCTATGCTTAAAAATTCTCGTACCCTTGAACAATATAAAATTTCATTAACATTTGATAAAATAATTGTTTTATTTATCGAGAAAAATGAATTAGGAATCAGACTGAATAGGTACACTGTTCAGAAAATGTTCACTTTTTCTCTAATCTGTAATATCCATTAGGTGAATCTCGCAGAGTGTGCCTTTCTGAATAAGAATCCATAATCAAGATTGTTCTATTAACCACAGTTTTCGAAAAATGTGAATTTTTCTAAAAAAAAGCAAAATTTTTATATAAAATGGAGTATTACGTAAAAAGTAAGGTTAGGGAGTTTATTGTTACCTTATAAGCTAAGTGTGAGTATTCCTAGTTTATAAATGTTCATAATTATAATTATTTGAGTTTCTCAATAACTATAATCGGTAATCAAAGTTTAAAAATAAGCCTCCGAGCGTACATTCTGCGCATTTTCTTGCATTTTTATAGAAAGTTCTTTATCTCATATAAATTTGCTATACAGTGGCGTATTCTGTAGGCCTTTCTGAAGTGGAAACTATCGAAAAACAATATTAAAATGATCTTCAATGTTGATAGGACGGTAAACTATATATCGGGAACCCGTAAGCTGGATTTTGCCGCCACGCAGCCATTGCTCGCACATTTAACTCTGTCAGGGCCGTAGTCATGCGTAATCGAATCACAATCCCAGTAGATTTCATTTTATATAGGTTGCATATATCAATGTATATATCACATGGATATGTTTTCATCTACTCTTTTATATTAATCATAAAATTATAATAAATTTCCCTAAATCATTCATAATTGGAAATGGTTTCATTATCCGATACATACATACTAATAACTTTTTAATACGAAGTTATTACAAAATAAACTCCCATCTAATTTCTAAAACGAGAATGAATCTTCCAACGTTTTTGATTTTCGTGCGATTCATCTTATTGTTAACCAAAAATACAGAGGAAATAAAAATATTTTGACATAGACATACATATCATAATAATTTGCCCTATGAAATTGCGAATGCAGTTATAGTTTATGAAAAATGCATAAAGTATCGAATTTACTATTATTAACAAATTGTTCTCAAAGTAAATTTATAGTAAAAGTGAAAAAATCAATAAATTACTGGTTATGACTTGAACTTACAACGTACTTACGCCAAAATGTACATATAATTTGTAAGAAGTTTATAAATTGTTATATTTAGTGTTAATAATAAATGAATATTGTTAATAACAAGTTGTACACAACCTAAATTTATAATAAAAGTGAAAAAATTAATGAATTATTGGTTATTACTCGAATTTATCACGAACTTCTATTGAAATGTAACTTCCATTTGCAGAAAGTTTAAAAATAATTAGACTGATTGTTAATAACAAATTAATATTGTTAACAACAAATTGTCCGTAACTTATATTTATAATAAAAGTCAAAAAATTAATAAATTATTGACTATGAGAGTGGAAAATGAATAATTAATAAAATCGAAAGTTCCCGATCAGGGTGGGGGACTCGGACGATCGGCGGCTATATAAGGGGCGTCGCCCCGCTGCTCCTGTCATTTGCCGGTTTGGTATCAGGAGTGTAACATCTAAATTTTTTCGTGTGCGCGAGTGGGGGTAGGTCCGAAGTGAGGTGGGGTTGACTACCCATCCACCCCCCACCCCCTTAAACAATTTACTAATAATTTTTTTTGTTTTCAGCTATTAATTATTTTTTTCTTTCAGATTTTAATCATTTTTTATTTTTTCAGGTTTCAATTATTTCTTTTTCTATTTCAGCTGTTATTTCTTCGTTTCTATTTATCTTTATTTAAACATTCGAATGTTTCGTCGTTATTTCGTTTATGTCTCATCGTTGGGTTGTTCTTTCGACTTTACTTTCGGTTCTGTTTACTAATCCGTTTTATTTCAGGCTCTAATTTTTTTCAGATTTTATTATTTCGTTTCTATTTATCTTTTTTTCAACATTCGAATATTTCGTATAATATTCGAATGTTTCGTCGTTGGTTTGTTTCTGTCTCATCGTTGGGTAGTTCCTTACATTTGGTTTACCTTCATGGTTCATACTCGTTTCGCTTTTTTCTTGCTTCCTCGTACTAATCCGTTTCCTTTCAGGTTTATATTAACAATAATATATTTCGTTTTAGCTTTTAGATTTCTCAAGATTCTCAAGTTTTTCAAGATTTCATTTGGGATACATCAATAGACGACGCGGGATGCGTGCGTTTAGACCTAAGTAGTTATAAGTAGCCATAAGATAGATCCCTAGGCTAAGTATCATGTGCGCGCTATCCGTACAAAGGTAACCTACCTAATTTGGAGCGAATATATACCTCTTATATTTTTCCCCCTTTATCCCTCTCGTTTGCCAAATAGAACATAATTATTCTCGGGATAATCGCGATCATTTTTAAGTACCAACTAGCCTGCGCGACATAGTCTCGTATACTCGATAACTCCATGTTTCGTAAGTCATCCAAACGACTCGTTCCGACATTCACTCTCGCCACTGCCACTCTTGTCACGCATCGGTTCTAGGGTGGTCAGCGGGCTGGTACTCATCTGGGTCAATCCGAGGGTCTGTCGGCCCTAGTCGTCCTGGGCACCAGCACGTGCACGACCGGGGTATGGGTCCTGTAGCCGTGACACTGCATATGGGCCTGCGGTTAGACCCCATGGGATGATTAATTTCTCCCCCATGTGGCAAGGGCTTACGTGACCGGCTACAGGGCCTCGCTAGGGACCCTCGGCTTGATTTTGGATGTTTCGTTGGTTCGTCGATCATTCTCGTTCGCGAGTAAGTCATGGCAGGGTCTGTGGTGGCTGGGTAGGCTAGGTTCGATCGGCAGGGTGCCGAGGTATGAAGTTGTCTTGTACACGAGAGTACGTCTCGTAGGCTAGTCGGCTTTTGGAATAATATAATAATAATTTGGAATAATAAACGCGATTTTTAACTTGCTCGCGTGTTTCATATTTCGTTCTTTATTTTTATGGGAACTTAGAAATATTAGAGTCTATTGAAATAAAATATCTTAGCCTTGCGACAGTAGAGTTCTAGTACATCGAATCGAGGTACCCTTTATCAGACACGATATTTAATAAAGTGTCAGTAACTTCTCTTTAACTTCTTTCGCTCCAAATTAGATTAGGATATCTTTGATACGGATAGCACCAGTAGGGTGCGCCACTAGGGCGCATGTCCGGGTCTCGATGCGTAGCCACCTCCACGTGGTGAGACCTTGTAATTGGTATCGTTTCCCAAAGAATAATTTTTGGGAAATGATACCAAGCAAAGAGCTAAGCACCGAGTTTAAAATGTTTGTTATATATTGTAAATTTTCAAAATTCCTCCTGAACTTTACTAATTTTTCGACATTTTGTAGCAAAATTATACTTTTCTTTTCGTAGACTTTTACATGTTAGCTCCATTGCATTTGGTGCTCGGGTTACGCGTAGCTACGACAGTGTTGAGGCTAGAGAAGCGAGCAATGGCTGCGTGTCGATAAAACCCCGTATACGAGTTACCAACGAACATTTTCTTCATCTAATCAAATTCAAAACTGATTCGACATTTCTGTTTCATGGTTTCTTCTTCAAAGGAGCCTACAAAATACGATAGTATATAGTAAATTCATATCAAATAAGAAACTTTTTGTGGAAATGCAAGAATAGTACATAAAAAGTACACCTGGCAGCTTATTTTTAAATTTTTATGAGCAATTATAATTATTCAGAAGCGCAAATAATTATAATTATGGACACAAACTCGGGATACTCTCATCTAACTTTTACAATAAGTGTGTACCTCCTAACGTTCCTATTTTTTACGTAATACTTCATTTCAGTAAAAAGTCGTACGATTTCAGAGAAACTCACATTTTTCAGAAACTAAGGATGACAGAGCAATTTCGATTACGGGTTTGTGTATTCAAGAAAGTAAATTCTACAAGAATCACCTTAATGGATACTATACTATAGATTAAAATTCACATTGAACATCAACTTAGCGAAATTTCATTATTGAATATGTTAGATAAAGTAGTCTTTATCGAATGGAAAATATTTCTATTTACTTTTTATAGTATACTTTGGTATTTGTTTCCTCTTATTGCTTATCTGATGCTAATTACACAATTAATAAGTTTGAAATTATTGAACAAGTGCAATACATTTACATATTTAAAATAAATTTTTAAATGCAATATTATTAATTATAAATTTTGATTCAAACTTGCAAACTTTAAATAAAGATATAGCTTTAACTTTATAGTTTAAATATCTTTGATTCTAAGTCAATTTATTTAATTTATTTGAATGATATCTATAACAAAAGTAGGTATTTAAATTAAATTAAATTGAAATTAAACTTTCATTTTAATGCAAATAATAATCAGGAATTAATGTGATCTTCAGTTGAATTAAAAAGTCCAATTTAATCATCCTAATTAATCCTTTCGTGATCAACGGGGTATATTGGTTCCACTTGAATAATCAAACTGACAATGAGTGATATACAAGAGCCACCATTTCGAAATTCAACGCATATGTTTTACAAGAGTAGGTTATCGCATACCAAATTTAATTTTTCAGTGTGACATTTTAGTAGAGTAGTTCTTCGTGTGGATGCATAATTTTTACATTTATTATCTTTCTTTGTGTAGGAGTAAATATAAATAAGTGACATCATGTGTACGTTCTTCCACATTTCAATGATAATTTTCTGTCAATTTATGTTTGTATTATTCTAATACTCAGTATCATATGTAGCCATTATAAAATACTCCTAGTGTGACTCAAGACTCTGAAAAATTTAAGAAAATTTCAGCAATTTCTTACATGTATAAAGACTTTATACATTAAAAATGTATAAAAATATAGTAGTTTCAATAATAATAAATGTAAAAATTTTTCTTCCTCAAGACTCATTTCTCAATACACTCTGTTTCAGAGTTTAGATGCATAAATGCATTCTCATAAAATTCTTCGAAAAATACAAAATTGGGCTCAATTTATCTTCCATTAAATAAGTGTCCTGGCCATGAAAGGATTAAATAGAACTGATTAAAAATTCGGATTAATAATATTAAATGTAAGAAGCTATGGTAAATGGTCAATACGAACCCATGGCGAGTGTCTGGCGGCCGTATGTTAACACTGTACGAAATCAACCATCGGTGACTTTTGCAGGAGAAATACGGGATGGTCCACCAACCCCTGTAGGATTCAATCGCCGGTGACTGCATGAATTTCGGTGACCTGGGATAACACGCAAACGCCACAAACCGCCATAGAAACTTCGATCTTTCCACGCACACGTGTTTCGTGCAACGACCCCAATTATCGTACATCTTACGCTTTCCTTTATCTCGTAGCCCTGGCACTTCACGGTCATCCGGTATATTATAAATAACGAACAATAAATTTCGTTTGAATTTAGAATTATTGTCTGAATGTATCAATATTCGATAAGAATTACTCTCGATGATTCTTTGTGATACGGTTTGACTTAGGTTAGGTTAGGTTATTAATGCTTATAATACTGTGTCGTGTGAATTTGTGTTACATGAAACAAAGAACTTTTATAAAAAGTAAGGTTAGGTTCGAAAAATTAACAAAAATGTAATATCTTTCTTCTATAACTTGTAAGAGTGAGAATGTAATGGACATATGGTAACATAGCTAGATAGTAACTATATAGTAATGCAGCAATATAAATGCTATATAGCAGTATAATAACGTATATATAATAGAATAATTTTTTTTTTAATAGAATGAAATGTTTAGAAAAGTTATTATAATAATTATTAGAAGATGAATGATTAGAATAGTAACATGCTTTACTACTATTTTAAATAGTAAAGAGTACTCAATTATTAAAAGTCATATTACTAGTGTTCATAGAATATGAAAATGTTTACCAAGAATTGCAGGAAGTGAACCATATATTGATCACGTGAAACATTCACGCTGTTTTTAAAAAATAGAGTGATACGTTCGTGTTATGAGTACAGTATCCTTTTCTGTATTCTATTCATGTGTGCTACCAGCTCATGGAAAAGAACTCGATGCGATCACGCGTGCTACTTTCGAATGTCGATAACTTGTTACAGGCTAGTTCCATCAGTTGAGTGTTAGTAGCTTACTTTTTGCACCTAGAAGACTTACAACTGACTTTATCATCTTATGAATTAATCAAAATTAAACAGGAGCAATGATATTATTTATTTCATCACTCTTTAATGGGTATTTTTAGGGATATAGACTGACGCCTAGGTATCCCTAGAAGCTTTGCTCTAGAACAACACTAACCATGATTATCTGACAGAAAAATGATCTTACGTGATATCTAAATAAATTGCATACTTACATGCAAAAATATTATAAGACACATAAAGATTATTTTTGTATGTGAATCGTCTATATACGTGACAATGCTATACTATGTACTATGTTTGGAGAATATTTGTTATAATTTCAAGTTGACACGATATCTTTAAACATGATGTGATGTGATGTTAAACATAATCTTAAACAGTTACATGGAAATTATAAACGATAATAAATATGTATATAAGTATGTTTTCTGGAGAATGGTTTGTGTAAATAGGAAGCACTGTGTATATTTATATACACAGTGAGATTAAAAATATTCCATAATACAAACAGGGGTGATTCTTTAGGAAAAAGTAAATGATAAATGTAGAGTAATATTTTTTCATACGTGGCTTAGTTCTTGTAAAAATCAAATTTGAAAATTCGTTGGGTATGTTACATTTCTATAAATAAAGTATTTGCTTGATAAAATTTTTCTGTGCATTTTTAAAGCTAATATCTCAGTAAAAATATTCTAGAAGTTGTATGTAACGATTATAGTGTCGTTTCATAAATCATATTGTACCTATACAAGTACCCAACGGATATTTAAATTTAATTTTCTCCAAAACTACATTTTGCATGATAAAATTGCATTCTGCATTTCTAGTTCACTTTTTGACGAAGAATCAAGTGTTGTAGCTCGATCTTCAAAATCCATTTTTTTGGGGAAAATTATGTGTAAGTAATATCGTGAATTAAGCTTTTACGCATAAATTGACGTAACAAAAATAAATTATTAAACCATTGTATGTGGAATTACTTAATTTAAATACCGTATTGTGGCTAATTTATATATCCCAGACATTTTAAGGGCATCAACCTCCATTGTGTCATGTATTATGTATTGTTTTCATATTACATTACAGGCAATGTACACAATAATGATGTGTACTTTTATCTTCAGTAAACAAGTTTATAATCTTATTACTTTGAATATCTCCCATAAAACAGAAGCTTCTTCGACCATAATTGCCATTTATGACGCTATATAAAACGAAGAAAGCATATGAATGTATACATTTTCTACAATTCTGCTGGCAATATTAATCAATTGTTATACATTATTATATTCGAGGGACAGTTTTATGATACACGCTATAAATACCCTGCCGCCGTACATGTATGTATGCAATAAAAAGCCTTTAACGATTTACCGATACCATATTGATTATCGTAGATGTCTGTTTAAGCGTTTATGTTCCCCTTCAAAATGAAAACCCTTGAATACAATGCACGTAATGTCTTTAATATTTAATGGACCTAATAAAACAAAATAAAATTATCAATCAACAATTTTTGTAAATTATTAAAAAATATGAACATATCACCTTAAAATTATTTGTTGAAGTATATTAACATTAGGGGTGGAAAAAATTCTGTCTAAGTAAATAAGACCCATAGAAGCATTCTCCTCATTAAATAGCTGGGACAGAATTAGGGCAGAATAGGACAGAAATTCTAGTTCTTATCGTGATGGTCTTGACTTGTTACATGTTCTCATTGTGAGAAATAATTACATAGTACAAATGACCTGAAATAGAATTTATAAGTTATTAAATATACTCCCCTTTACAACATTAAAAAGATACATTGGAATATCTAAAATAAATAGTTTGTGTACCCTTAACTCATGTATCCTATATATTAAACAAATGACATGTTATTTGTGATATATTTCGAACCTTGACACATTCAGACAATACATTATTTTAATAAAGAATTACAGTCACTTAGATAAGACCTGAAAGTTCTAAAAATGTATCTCATTTTTACGTATCGAGTTTCTATGACTTGACGCTCGTACAAGATGATGAAGGATGATGAATGATCGTGGAGCACCTATAAAATGTCTATTTTCTTCTCGGTATAATTCTTTCCAAATACATATTTCTTACATGTACTAGTCTGCCCCAAAATTTTAATATTAATATATAAAATAAGATGTATATTTACAAAATATATAAATGAAGTGACATCACGTTTGATTTTCATATTTTTATGAATTATTCATAGTTTCTTTACCGAGAAGAGGTAACAAAAATTAAGTATGAAGGGCGAGGTGCAAACCAAAAGTCATCTGTGCTTGTGCGTGTGCGTGCGTGCAGGTTGATGCTTTATAAAAAGCTATGTGCAAATGTGAATACATTATCTTTAAATATTAACAATTAATATTATTCCTTAATATCTAATGAACAACAAGAAGTTTCTGCAAATCACATTATCAGATTATGTTCAGCTGTTGATATCATCAGTAATTAAATTTGTATGGCTGTGTCACAAGTGAATAATTTAAAAAAATACTATGTCTCTCTTTCAGCGTCTACTTATTTAGAAAATTGTTAAATTGATATGTACAAAATTTTCTAATTACTTTGTTCTACAGCAGAAGTCTCTATTTTATCTTATAGTGTGATAAAATTACCATACTTTATTCTATAAATTATTGTTAATACTTTGTAATTGTATCTTTCTCTTTGATAATAACAGCACAGTTTCAAGGCACGAAATCGATAAATCTTAAAATAAAGTCCAAAGGGATTTTATTCCATTCCTCCTTTGCGGATTTAAATAATTCTGACCTGTTTGAATGTTTCATGTTCTTTAGTTCTTTCCATAAATACGCAATCGGATTCAGATATAGGGATCGAACTGGTGACTTAAAAATTTGTTAACTATTAAGATTGTTAATATTTTTAGTTTAACAGTTGCCTAAACAATATAGCTTTCAAATCATTACTATACTAAACTACCCAGTTTTCAGTCACTTTCTTTCTGTGAATTCTATTCAATAGACATTTGCAATATTTATTTGACTGAAAACTCTTGCATGTTACTATATACATTTATATGATGTATATTTTCAAGCTTATTTCACAACAATGTCATCTTTATATCCTTTATGTTCAGAATAGATTGCCCAATACATAAAGCAGAATAGAAATCATAATCTTCTTTTCATCTCCAATAATTTAAGAATTCTTTGTCCAGTTAATATTTCATTGAAAATAATACCTTAATCAATCTTTATTTAAAAAAATGAAAAGTATTCGTTAAATTAAATTATTTGGATATTTAACAGCATAAGTTGCAAAAAGTACGAATACCAAAGTAAGTTGATTATGTATTAGTTCACATAACTTGTGATTTAAATTTCTTCGAATAGTTTCGATCCGAAAGAATCGAAGATTTGATATATCTGATAAATCTGAAAAACTTGAAGCAATAATAGCATAATTAGTACATGCAAGACATTTTGAGGACATGCATTAAATTCGACGAAGTGCACGAGGGTTTGAAATTCGATAAACGGTAGACAAATCGAACCTCAATTCCGTGGTGGCACCAGCATTTTCGAACCATGGTAAATTTGAATCTGGTATAGATCCTGGCTGGAGTCCGTGGCTCTCAACCTTGAACGGTTCTCCGACACTTCCTGGGCTCCTTTCCAACCAGACTGCGCTAATTACCGCTCCCGTGGACGCATTTAGTGCGATCACCCTTGTTTCCACGGCGTCGTTCACTGACACCAGTAGTGACTTTGCTAACACGTCTAAAAGCACTATACAAGATTTCAACAGATTATGAGGAAGAACATTTAAATCAATTATTCAAATTACATAAAGTATAATTCACGTAGCTGAGGCAAGTTATACCTCTCTTCAGGTTTCATTAGATTAGAATGTTATATGGTTCAACAGGATATATGGTTCAAACATGATTTCATTTTCTGGACTATATCCTTCTCTAGCAATAACTGCAATACTATATACAGTTTTAGTTTTATTAGACTATTCAAAGACAGTTAGTATAAACCTAATACTAGACAATACCAATAAAACCTAATACTGGACAAACATAGGTCCAGGGAGAAAAGATCAATCTACTCAAATGAGTAACAACTCAATCTTTCCAATTGATCGAGTACTGTTATCTTTCTGTATATAAAGAAAAATGTTTTCTCAAGAAGAGCTAGCTGTTCCAAGATATGCGAGCAAGTACAAGTGACAGATGTCTGATCATAGAAGGCACCTCTTCCACTTGACCATACCTCAGTAAGCTCATAAGACTCGGTGACTGGGATCACATCCCATCCAAAGACCATGACAGCTAGAGGTTGAAGCTTTCTTCAAAACTCTGTGGTGACAGTTCTAAATCTTTCTACATCCCTAAACCCTTAGATGTAAGAAGACGCTTTTTTCCTTTTCTTATCCCAGGTATTCTTTTGCTTCGTTTTAGAAAGATTTGATTTTCAGTGGTCTTCATCTTGTATTTCAGAAAGTTTATAACGGGAATACCGTCTTTGAAGATCTATCCCTTGTCTATATAAGCGAATATTTTATCTATTGATAGTTAGATAAAAGTTATTAAAATAAATTGATCAAAATATGATAATTTCGAATAATAAAGTAAGTTTCTATCTTCATTATCGATCTTTCATTATTAACATTTTTAATATTTAGTTTTTAATTTTACTATTTTTCTTATTATTAATATTTTTCATTTTCTTAATACTTCCTTATTATTTTCATAATAGAATTATCGGGTCATTGTTGTGCAATGTAATCTTATAGATTATTTTATATTTTAATTTCTTTGGTAAAATTAAAATTTATTTATCTAAATGTTTTCAAAAAATGATTATTTTTTAAATATTACTTTTTACATGTATGTTCCTTTACGTAAAATGGTGAAAGAATTTGGCTTATATGAAACAATACATACATATCGATAATTAAATAATATTATGCTGGTATAAAATCCATTTGGTTTTGTTGGAACCCAAATCTGATTTTTCTTCAACCATTTATCTTTCTCTTCTAATATTGTCTTTTTAAATGGAACAAGAAGAAGGTATGATTTGTTATAATTATGTGAATCACCCTATATACACGATTAACTATCAAATTATTTATTTCAGTGTAGAGTATTTTTCATAGTATGATTCTGATCAGCCAACAAATTAATTATCGGCTAAATAAATGTATTTCCTTTTATATATTATATTATAAAAGGAAATCCATTATATACCTTTTAAGAATTCTTTAATAAGTTTCATATATATTTAATAATTTCGTATAATAAATTCTATTAATTTTTATTACCACGCTATACGAATATAATCAAAGCAAAATCCCTAACAATATAAATCCCCAATGAAACTGTTTATCATTTAAACGTTGACTAGTTGATTCTATTAAACAGAACAAGAAATATAATTAGTACCGTTGAAAAATATAGTTACGAGTAATAAATATGCGTAATTATAAAAAAAGCATTTTTATAGCTATAGTCGTGAAATTACTGCTTTTAAAGAGCTCCGAGATTTGTTGTATAAGCGGTCCATGTGCAGAGTTACAAAGCCCAGGAGGAGTAATCAATGTATCCCGATAGTATGCATATTCTCGTTACCATTTCAGCCGTTGGAATTCGATTAGGCGATGATATACCAGGTTCCGTACAAATTGGACTGTCGACAATGCGGTCCGTCATCGTGCTCAGTTTATTGGACAAATCGATTTTACGTTTCTCTCGTAGATTGCTATGGAACGACTCAAAATTCAATAACAAAAAAGTATTCTCTTACTTTGAAACACTGACAAAGTATTGAATTCTAATCTTGCATGCCTATTCGTAAGAAAAATAATGATAAGAATTTATATATTACATAGAAAGTACAAAAAAAATTTTTTTACTTTTTATTTCCCTTGTTTTATAAGATTTCTGGTCTCTGTTTTACTCCATGATCCTGAGATGTATTTGTTAGTCAAATGTAATTCAATAATTCGTTGATCGAACTATATTCCGATTAATATCGAACAATATTCCGATTAATATCGAACAATATTATCCTCGATGTTTATTCTACATATCGATACTTATAACGACATTTTATAATTGATCACTGTCACTTTATTCATTGATGTTCCACGTGTTTGATGAAGTTAACCACAAATATTATGCATTAAAAGTACACGATGTGGTCGAAGAAAGCAATATTATTGATAGAAATACAGATACAACGACGCTTGTCAATCTAAATATCGATGCGTCTTCGATACAGCAACAGACTGGAGTGGTGGGGAGAGCATCGTGGAGATGGAAAATAGGATAGTGGTGACCACTGGTGAGCGAATCAGTTAGTTTTTCAAGTGCGACGCGTAAAGTAGGATTCTTCCTGCGATATAATACGTTTTCATTAATGTATTCAAACGTACATTTTTTATCCAAAAACTCATCATTTATACTTTCTGTAATCCTTATTTATTATCACAGCTTCGATATTTTCACAGTTATCGTGTTTAATGTTCATGTAATATTTTCAGGTTTAAATTTTATTCAACGATATCGTTTATTTGATACAGGTTATCGGTAACTATTTGTAACTCACCATTATGCCTTGATATCCCCGCAATGCCAATATTTTGGAGCATCAGAGCTGTCATGTCAGCTTTTTGACGTGCAGTGTCGTAACGTCGGGGATCAAGTGCTACGGCAGCTGGTAAAGATTTAAAACCAGCTGTCGTGGCACAATCTTCACCCAATGATCCGGTTGATGCCGCTTCTATCACGTCCAGAGCTTCTTCGATATCCACCTTTGAAATAAAATGGTTTTTTGATCGAATTAAACAGCCGATACTGTTTGAAATGAAATAGTGTATGTATGTGAATATACTTTCTTTTTCTTTTCTCTCTTTTTTTTTACAGAATTGAGACAGTATTATTTTCAACATTTACAATTTTATTTTATGTCATGATTATCTAACCATGATTACATATGTATTATACACGAATACGAGCAAATTTTATGACACCTCGTCTTCAGAAATTTAACTGAATTCGATAGGGCAAATAATATGACACGATTTAAAAATGTTTAATTTTAAAAAATCGTTATTCGTTATAATTCGATTAAAGGTTATAAATTTTGTATATTAACAAATTATTAACTTTATGAATATTGGTCAATGCGTAAACATTTATAAGTATAAGATGAAAAAGTACGTGTGAGTTATAAATGTTTATTTGCTTCGTTTTATATTTCAGAATATGATTTGTATTTCAAACTGGAGGAATATTTAATGGTACATTCTAACAATATTTATTATACCTTCACGACCGTAGAGGTAAAATTATTTCTTTCTTTTTTAATACTTGCGTTGTAATATTGTCATACATACGCACGTATGGATAAATACATACATAAAGAGATATGTACGCACGTTAAACCCTGCATAGCATGGGTTTATGTACATGATAAAGAAGATTCATATAATACGATATAAGTTTACATTTTAGTGTACAGATACATTTATTATAAGGAATAATTTGTGAAAACATCACAGCAAGATCATAAATCGAAACATTAAGCATACAATAAATATTAAACATTGTGCATATAACATGAAACATATTCGCTTCGTATGAAACATCGTACAATATGAGGATTTATCGCATATACTAATTTGACTAAAGCAGTACTGCAGTCTGATTCGTTTACTACTGAACTCAAAGGCAGTGTCGTCTAATCAGAGAACCTTGGTACATGAAATTTTACCGGTCACACATACGCACACACATGTAATCGTTGCATACATTCGTCAGGTATATATACAGGGTATCCCAGGTGACATTATTCACGATTTTTTAAATACTTGCGATAATCTGACAAAATGTTTTATACATATATATACATACATACATGCAAATGAAACTATGTTTGAAAAAATTGTAAACAATGTAATGTTTGAGCTGTTTTTACAGATTTTATGTAAATCATGAAATTTATGTAAACTGTATAAATGAAAAAAAGAGAAAGTTAAATCTTCTTTCACATTAAATATTTCCTTAATTCTTTTAAAATGACTTTTATATTACTTTTGCCTATGTATATCAATTTCATTTGTGTGTGTAATGCGTTTTATTTTTAAATAATAAACAACATGAGAACAGTACCTTAAAACAAATGTTATGATTTTTATTCCCCGAATTATAATTTTTAATTTGTATTAATAATGAAACTAGTAATTTCAACACAAATAATTACAGGCAGCTGGGGTATTGTAATAATATAAATAAATATGAGAGCAAGAAAAGAATAGTGAAAGGAGAGAAATATTATAAAAGAAAAAACAATAAAAGTAGGAAGGTAGTAGTAGAGTGATAAAAGAAAAATGAAGGAAGAAACATATTAATAGATGTATGATACAATAAGTATGAAAGAAGAAAGGTATGAGTAGAATATTACATAAAAGAAAAAAGTCAGTTAAGGAATGCTAAAAAAACGATATTAATGGAAACAAATAAAGTGCTAATACTGACATTTTTTAGATTGATGATCTGGCAGCATGAGAACTGATCTTTTTAAACAATACTTAATTAGTGAACTTTTCCCATTAACAGCAGTAACATATCATACGCAAGATATATGCACAGACCTAAGTAGATTTCCTTAATCGTTCATAAAATGATGTTAATTTAAAATATATTATACATAATAATATTACCAAAAAAAAAAATTATAGTTTTTAGTTTTATAATTATCACGTATGCTCACAGTGAAAAAGATGAAAATTGGTTGCGAGATTTTCCAAATTAAAGTAATCTAGTCTAACACATGTACAACACTCTATTAACTTGTTGAACTCACATCCAACATTTTTGAAGAAGATGTCTTTCTTTGAAAATCTATTGTATTTGAAGAATTAGAAAACGTACTAATACGATCTCTTTTTGGATACAATTAAATTAAAATTTAGTGGTTAGCCAATCTCTAAAATACAAATCATTAATGACCACTTATTTCTTTAAAAAATTATTTTTTCTTGTGATTATTAGTATTACATCTGATTATGCTAACCAAGTTACAAATTTTAAATTCAGTCATATCCAGACCGGGAGTTCCCCTTGTCAGATGGGAGCAGGCTGGATGAGGGTTATTAGTCACCCCAGGGCGCTAGTTGATAGCCCTTGTCTACTCTATTTCTACCATTCTATACACAGGGTGTTCCAGATTTATCCTGCCAAACCACAATAAGTAAGTGAAGCATTTAAAAGAGATATTACATAAATGGGATAACAAATTTCATAGAAAAATTATAATACAGATATAAATTATTTGTATGCTGATATTTAATTTTATATTAATTAGTATTATGATTCTTTACAGAGTACTAACAAGTTGGCGATGTTTACGTTAGTTCCACTTCAAGGAATGATCTATTCTTATGACTGTAGGATCAGCATCCATAAAAAGCTGGATCTATCACATTACGAACTTTTTGCTTACTTGTTTACGCTTGACCATTTTTCTGTTATATTTACATCAGGTTTTTCTTCGTTTTAATATTTTCAAAGGATTTGTGAATCTGGAATAGCCGTAAAGGAGTAATGGAATCTAAGAATTCAATCGAATATAACAAAATGTACAAACACTTTTGGAAAATATTTTTCTTTATCTTCGTGAAGCTTAAGATCTTAATATTTTTGTACAGTATACTTTTAAATATTTTTATGTAGTGTTATCTACTACATAGAGTACTACATAAAGTGTTTACGTTTCACACAGTCTCAAGATTGAATATGAAAGTGATATAGGTCAGTAATTACAAAGACGATCTACATATATTACATATAACATAGCTGAAAATTCAATCGTTAGAATAATAAATTATTAAATTTGAATAATAAATTATATATTATTAATATCAAAAATTTGAATTAATTTTAATTTATCCAATTATGGAAAATTTTTAATATTTTGAAATGAGACATACATGTACTTAGATATATGACTTAAATTATTTTCATAATTTTCAATGCAATTATCCTTATCATTATTAATACTCATTTATTTCATGAAAATTTTCTCTAAAATTGGTGCCAGATGTACAGTGGGTCAGGAAAACGTTTTTGCACACTGCATTACAAGAAAATTCGTCTAACCATTTTGACTTTAATGAAAGTTTATGCACAGGTAGAGTATAATGAATTCAGCACGAGATTTTTTTCACAGAAGGAAGTAGGTTGCAACATTTTTTGTGCTCTAAATATACGCATTTTCAGAATTTTTTCACGATAGACTAACAAAGCACTAACAGTCACACATATTTTGTATGAAAACTTTTATTGCATCTTGCACTATTACAAAATTATATTTCAGAAAACGAGAAAAGCACTGAATTTCATCTGCTTAAACTGATAAATTTCGTGAAAAGAAAATTGTTGTATATATGTATAATCTTTTATGGTGCACATCTCAACAGAGTTTTGCTCAAAATAAAACATTTAAAAAAAAAAAAAAATGTAAAAGTAGGTTTCTTGTGAGCATATAGTGCATGAACAGAAACTTTCGTTGAAATTGCAATTTATTTTCTGGTTAAGTGAATTCTCTTGTAATATCGTGTGCAAATATTCTTTTGACCCACTGTAAGTATACTTGTTACTTTATATCATGAGTTATCTTCGAATGTGTGTATTACAGCAGTGAGCTTGTTGAAACATGAAACGAATGTTGCCTTTGGTCACTACTTAAGGATCCGTGACCCTAATCAATTGGCATGTTTGGAACTAGACTAGGATATGTGAGGACCTATATATTAAACGCTCCTTCAATCAGACTCTATAGGGAGAAGCTTTGACTCTTAGCTCGTAGGACAGATGTAAGTGTATCCTACTGTTCCTACTTGACCCTGATTCAACAACACAAACGCATCGATTCGAGAGCCCTGGCCATGTCTTGTGTGGTCAAACTCAAGATTAGGTAAGATTAGACATAGGTCACTTGAAGATATTAAAGCCAGAAAGTATGGGTTTATTCTATTTGTAAGTGTGAGACTTAGACTGACCAATTAAACAGTTAAGAACTCTATTTTTAATGTGTAGTAAAATGAACTTAATTTTGGTTGCTTATGTCACTAATACCTTCATTCAATTCTCATATTTTAGGGGAATTTTAAGTTTCAATGGTGACTGAGAGAATAATACTTATCACTAGTATGGGAGCTTCATCATGATCTTTGCTATCACCAGGAAGATGGAAAAGTGCGGTTCAACGTAATTTAATTAAACATATAGCTTTCAATTTATGATAACACAACGTAGAAGTTTCGACTCTTCGTTCTATTATACATAAAAGGTACTTAAATTATGTAGGAATGCTCATTTTCTATTTATGTATGTATGTGTACTAACACCTACGTATCTTCTCTTTCTCTCCCACTCAAACTAGACAAACTGAGCAAATATTCTGGAGACACATTCGGTCACGTTCATCCAAGACTCGAGTAGCATGCGCTCTTCCTTCACACCCTAATCTCGAGTAGGTGATCTTCTCACTTACCTCCAACACAGTTGCTCGTAAAAGACATTCGCACCAAATACCCACTCTCGCAAATATGGTACTAGAATTTTTCATATCAGATTTAATTTTATTTAACAGATAATTTTTTGAAGACCTGTCTACATTTTCATCTCCTGTTTTTACATTGATTACAAGGTAAGCTAACTTCAATAAAAAGTCTATCAAACCTATTTGGCTGTTCCAAATTTACGAAACGTAGATTGCATTCTAATCATTGGTGTTAAGTAATCTATTGTACTTTTTTAATGAATGCAGATACACGTTTCGAATTTAGGAAGATTGAAAATTCTTCATGCTGAGACAAGGGGAGACCGAGTTTGAAATTGAAGATGGTTGATAAAATCTATACACGTGATTTAGCTATTTGGAGAAACAGTCATGTTTCATTGCTTGAATGGTGGAGTTGGCTGAGAATTCAATGGAAGAATGGTCATCGTTCTACATGGCTACTATTTCTGTGACTATTGTAAGGGACTCTCTTGTAAGGATCCCTTTCATTGCGAAGAAATCAGCATTTCGAAACTTATTCTCTTTGTGCAAACCTAAGTGCCGAGTAAAGTAGACTCAGAAGACGGTACTCTTATTGGCAACAGCTTAAATGTCGAGGTTAACGTAACGGACGGTCGTTGGGATTAGAACCTATAGAGTAGGTTTGGGTACTCTTAGCCTAAGATCTGGAAATTGGTATCGTTCTCCAAAGATTATTTCTTGGAATGTTGTACCAGACTTAAGGAGCAAATAGGTGGCATTACATTGAGTTCTAGATTTTGGAAATTCATTTCAAACTTTAGATAGCTGGAATTGATTAAGGATACTAACTAATTTCTGTGCATCTAGAATTGATTACAAATATAGAAAATAATTATAGAATGAACTGATACATAAGTGAAGACTTCCTTTCAGATCTTTTAGTTAACATGGAATATGTAAGAAGATATGAAAATTAATTTCTATGTCTCTGAATTCTGTTGTAGTAGGTGTCCAATTTGTGAAAAGCAGGAAAATACAAAGTACTTCAATGTAATATATATTATGCATATGATTTTACAAAGATATATCTTAAATTTAATTATAAAATAAATTTTGGCATACTTCTTCTTAGTTTCTAATATTAAGAGTGCTGTAGATTTTACTGTATGTTAAATTAATATCACCGTAAGTGCCGTGGAAGTAAGAGTACTCTGAAGCTCTCAGATTTGTACAACACAATAATACATTAAGTGTTAAGGCTGTGTTAGACGAATTTGTTAAAAAAGTAGACTGTGAATAATAAACACTGTAAATTACAAAATGAAAGATTTAGGAAGATAAGTTAACAAATATGAATAAAAGACACGCAGACACTGAATCAATATTTAGCAAATTTTTCAATTTAAATTTCTTCAAAGCCAAGCTTTATTTGCAGAAAATGTATTATATTTTAGGTGTTTTTAGCATGTAAATTAACTTTCTTTTTAATCACACCACTTATTTTACCACACTTTACATAACAATTGTTTTAATTTCAAAGTGAAAAATTGGCACGTTAATCCAACGTAATTTAAAATAAATATTAAGGCAGTGAATTTTGATATTTCAATAAACCACAGTTGAATCAATTAATAATTATATGTATACATGTAATTATATAATTAGTAATCGTATATAGTAATAGTACATAATATAATTAGTAACTAATAATTAGTAATTTATATATATATATATATATATATATATATATAATTAGTAATTAATAAGTAGTAATTATTAAATAATATATATAGATAAAATTTCATAAATGTAAAAAATTAAAAATTGTTAAACTACTTTACCCTTTTCGTATCGAGGACTTCGCTGCTAGTAGTCATAGCGATAGACGGTACCGAAGTTGATGTAGCCGTCGTTACAGTGACGTACGCCATCATTGTCATCGTCGCAGGAAACAGGGCCCAAAGCCAAGATTTGCCCATCCCGCGTACTGCTCATTTGTACTTTGAAGTAAATATAAAGTGATATTTATACTACTTTAATAAAATTTCTATAAATAAAAGAAAATTAGAATAGATGGAAGGAAAGTCAATGCAATTCAATTTACTGTTATACATTACAAATAAACATTTTCTTTATCGTTGATCACATTAGAATCATATTCTCAGGAATTAATCATTCGATAAAAGCATTTAATAAAAGCAATTTTTAATATTTAAAAATAAGAGAATATAAGATTTTCTTTCATCTCGAATAAAAAAATCTGTAATTTCTTTTTAATTATAGTTATAATATTTTAATTATAATTATAATACAATATTTATTATATATATTTGCAACAATGCTATGAATTATTCCCTTTTTATATAATGATAAGACGTTTTATTACATCTACTATGTAGGACGAATTTCTAAAATAATCAAACAGATGTTTCCATAAAAATTTGTTCATATAAAGTGAGACATATTATGAACAATTTTTGGAATGAAGCTGTGATGGAGATTGCAATTTCAAATTAATTTTTTTAAATGGTACTTTATATTTCTTTTGTTTATAATGCTATAATACAGGGTGGTCACTGAAAAACTGAAGGGTTTGAAAAAGTCATAACTTGTTCATTTTCAATCTCTTTTATTTGTGAACAGGAAAATGATGGTCATTTGAGGGATGCTATTTTTCACGTATAATACTGAAAAAGATCTATTAATTATATTTCCAAATAAAATATTTAGAAAATTTTGAAACACGTGTTTTTAAAGGTTACTTTTGTTTTATACTATTCAGCTTTCCAGTGGCTACTCTGTATATGTTGAGATGAATTTAACTACCTCCTACATCAAGTCACTTAGTGTAATATAAAGTCATAAAGTAGCGGATACTTATAAAGTTCGGTAAACATGCATGTATAGTACATCATAGTAAAACAGATTAAATATTATACTTCGATTCAACTCATTACATAGAGTATTTGAATTTAATTATTTAGTAAAAAAAAACACATAGAGACATTTTATTTCTTAATATCATTAATACTTCTTAATAATTCTTCTCCTAATAATGTTTAACCCTTTCACGAGTACAGTCGAACATATACCGAAGAAAAATTTGTAGAAACAATCTTATGCAAGCAATATGACACGTAGTAAAAAGAAAATTCCAAGATTATGTTAGTAAAATTAGGAAATAATTCAACGATATATACGATACGTATGATAAACGATATTGCAGATATGAGCCGTGGTGGCGCTAGTGAGTTAAAGGCAAAATCGTCTTAGGACTGTCGAAACGCTCACTCGTGAAAAAGTTAATATTATCATCTTAATATTATCCGATATTTTTTAAAAAATATTTGCAATAACAGATTAAAATTCACCTTGTTCAATGTTTAATTTAATCATGCTCTTAGTATGTTCAAATGTAATAACAAAAACGTTTATATAAAAATCTACGTAATTATTTAAAAATTATTTAAATTTGATATTAAAACAAACCTTTGTCTTTTGCATTCAAGTGGTACCAAGCTTGAGCCCCGGATCCATGGGGCGTTCATCCACCCCCTCTGATTGCCTTGACATTCTTCTCGATGATTTCCTTGGTCTTCCTTTATTACCTGCCACCTTCAGTGGTTGTTCATCACGAAGAAGTAGCTCTGTTGAGGAAAAATTATTCGTATATACGGTATGAAATCCATTTAAATAAATTTCTAGTAATCACACAACCAATATTGCTTTAATATCATAGAAAATCTAATTTTTCTCGTGACATGAAAATCGTAGAAAATTATTTTACGAGTTGTCACTACTATACTATAATATTTATTATACATATAATAATTACTACTAACGCAGTATACTACTATACTACGTACAACTATTAACGTCAGGTATTCTTTTAACCAGTTATTTATAAAAAGTGATGAATAAATATTCAAAATATTTTATTTATCTGACTTTAAATATATTTTACAATTTTCGCATGGAGATATTTGAAATTAAAATGTTACTAGTTTAAATATAATGGTATTAAAATGCCAATTGTCTCAATTTTAATAGAATAAAAACATTTCAACGTAACAAACTTTGTAAAATACTCCAGTAAATTTAAAAAATCATAGTACACATACAATTCTTTCGAGATGAATGATACAAATCTTCAATTTTTTTCGATTTGTTTCGTCTTTTAATACAATTTATTTTCGTTTGAAGCTCATTTGCCATATCAACGACGTTATCGTGTACACTCTGCTGGACTCATTTCTGTATCGTGTTACGAGAAGGTGTTGATTTAAATAAAGCAGCCCATGATAGGATTCCTCGAGGGTCCTTCTACAAATCGTGCGATGATATAATTGCCCACCGTTACGAAGCTCTCTGCTTCTGGTTCGTACATTCAAATTTATTACAAATCTATCAAACGTATCTCGACAAACGATGAATCTTGGTGCTTTAATAAATTTCTAACGAAGGAAGTAAAATCTGTTATAATTTGCAATGAATGAATCGTTTTCTTCAGTGAAAGTGGTTATTCGCGTAATAAACATCTATAATAATCGAAATAAATGAGATATTGAACACGAATACCAAAAAATTTACGTATACATCCCTCCGCTGCCTTCGTAAATCAAAAAGTATCATTAATTAAATAATTAATTAATAATTAATTAAAAATAATTATCAAAAATAATAAAGAGGGTAAGGATTTAAATGCACATTATGAACATAATAATACAGGATGTCTCAAAAAAGTGTATACACACTTTGCATGATTATAAAAACAGTATATATTTAGATGGATTACAGATTATGGTGGTAGCACTTTAAAATATATTTACGTTTTTCAAAGTCTAGTCTAAAATCTGCCATTATTTTAAATGGGCTGTACCTAGAAAAGAAACATTAAATTAGAAAGAATAAGGTATTGAAGTATGTATACGTTTCTTTAGGACACCCTGTATTCTCACAAGAAATTGCACTGTTTTTATTCTATTACTAATAATTCTATTGCACTGACGTATAATAACACTGCCTTTGTTTCTGTCATATAGACTAACAAATTTTATTTTATCCCCAGTTTGGACATTTTCATAAATTAAGCAGAATATTCGACATATTTTCTAAACTAATTAACACAATTTTTAATTATTTTTATTTTGTTTCTAATATGTATTTTATGCATATATAATGTTTAATTTTATTTTACAGGATTTATTGTTCGCAGTCTCGAGAAAGAAAGAGGAAGAAAATTATTTCAATGTTTACACCTGTTATATGAGTGAAGAAACAATTACTAATTCGGTGAATGATTAAATCATAGTTTCTTGAAAGGGAACTGAAAAGAACGGAAATCGAGTGGAAGGAATAACTCGATAATAATCGCAGCAAGTCAGAGAGAAATAAGAAAGCTGAATTAATTTCAGCAAAATGCATCGAGTATAATTATCACAGTAAATAAACAGAGATTTAAATCACTGCCAATAAAATGATAAATTGTTCGTATCGTTCATCGTGTGAAACAATTTCAAAGCAACAAAAAAACATAAAATAACTACACATATTTATTATAAAAATGAATTTATTGTAGAAAATAGGATTGCTAGAAAAACTTAATTTCTATAATTCAACTAAATAATTGTTCAACAATTTTTTAAATAACGCTGTCCAAAAAATTTTAACTCATTCTCTAATCTGTAATAACCAATAAGTAATTCTCGTAGAGCTTACTTTGATAAAACTAAAAAGTATTCGAAATATAACATTTAAACAATTATAATGAAACAGAAAGGACAACACGAAACTATATATATATTAAAAAAAATGAAACAAATGAACAATAAAAACTTAACAAACTTAAGCTCTCTGCTTCTGGTTCGTACATTCAAATTTATTACAAATCTATCAAACGTATCTCGACAAACGATGAATCTTGGTGCTTTAATAAATTTCTAACGAAGGAAGTAAAATCTGTTATAATTTGCAATGAATGAATCGTTTTCTTCAGTGAAAGTGGTTATTCGCGTAATAAACATCTATAATAATCGAAATAAATGAGATATTGAACACGAATACCAAAAAATTTACGTATACATCCCTCCGCTGCCTTCGTAAATCAAAAAGTATCATTAATTAAATAATTAATTAATAATTAATTAAAAATAATTATCAAAAATAATAAAGAGGGTAAGGATTTAAATGCACATTATGAACATAATAATACAGGATGTCTCAAAAAAGTGTATACACACTTTGCATGATTATAAAAACAGTATATATTTAGATGGATTACAGATTATGGTGGTAGCACTTTAAAATATATTTACGTTTTTCAAAGTCTAGTCTAAAATCTGCCATTATTTTAAATGGGCTGTACCTAGAAAAGAAACATTAAATTAGAAAGAATAAGGTATTGAAGTATGTATACGTTTCTTTAGGACACCCTGTATTCTCACAAGAAATTGCACTGTTTTTATTCTATTACTAATAATTCTATTGCACTGACGTATAATAACACTGCCTTTGTTTCTGTCATATAGACTAACAAATTTTATTTTATCCCCAGTTTGGACATTTTCATAAATTAAGCAGAATATTCGACATATTTTCTAAACTAATTAACACAATTTTTAATTATTTTTATTTTGTTTCTAATATGTATTTTATGCATATATAATGTTTAATTTTATTTTACAGGATTTATTGTTCGCAGTCTCGAGAAAGAAAGAGGAAGAAAATTATTTCAATGTTTACACCTGTTATATGAGTGAAGAAACAATTACTAATTCGGTGAATGATTAAATCATAGTTTCTTGAAAGGGAACTGAAAAGAACGGAAATCGAGTGGAAGGAATAACTCGATAATAATCGCAGCAAGTCAGAGAGAAATAAGAAAGCTGAATTAATTTCAGCAAAATGCATCGAGTATAATTATCACAGTAAATAAACAGAGATTTAAATCACTGCCAATAAAATGATAAATTGTTCGTATCGTTCATCGTGTGAAACAATTTCAAAGCAACAAAAAAAGATAAAATAACTACACATATTTATTATAAAAATGAATTTATTGTAGAAAATAGGATTGCTAGAAAAACTTAATTTCTATAATTCAACTAAATAATTGTTCAACAATTTTTTAAATAACGCTGTCCAAAAAATTTTAACTCATTCTCTAATCTGTAATAACCAATAAGTAATTCTCGTAGAGCTTACTTTGATAAAACTAAAAAGTATTCGAAATATAACATTTAAACAATTATAATGAAACAGAAAGGACAACACGAAACTATATATATATTAAAAAAAATGAAACAAATGAACAATAAAAACTTAACAAACTTAACAAGTAGATTAAATTTAATTTTCATGAAATATTTTTTAAATATATAAAATTACAATAAATATTATATTAAAATAAAATACCAAAATTTCATTCTTAAGAATGAAAGCAGTGACACAATAAATCAGCATTTTATCCAAAATTAAACTGAGAAAAAGTTTAAACAATTAAAACAATTGAAATAAAAATAATTAAAAATTGTTATACAAAATTTTATAAATAAAATTGTACAAAATTGTTATACAAAATTTTACAAAATTATTATACAAAAATTTACAAAGTTATTACACAAAATTTTACAAATAAAATTCTACAAAATTAATATACAAAATTTACAAAATTATTATACAAAATTTTACAAATAGAATTTTATAAAATTGTTATACAAAATTTTACAAATAAAATTTTACAAAATTAATTTTACAAATTTAATTTTAATTTAGTAAATTCTAAGTTTATTGTTATTTTACTATTGTTCCCTAGAAACATGTTTTTCCCAATAAGTAGATTCAATTTTTAAGGACGAAAGCTAGGAATGTGTATCATAAATCGATATTTTTCGAAGAAAATTCTAAATGTTAGTTCGGAGGAATAATTTCTATAAACGGATTAAAAAATTCCATCGTTAGGTTCTCTTTTTCGTTCGTCGTGTTTTATCAAAGTCCCAACAAGTTTTTGTCTAGGTGGCTAGAAGCGACTTTCGCGACAAAAGAATTAACAGAGCTACATGTCGATTCCAACGCTCATCCACTGTATCGGAAATATCGTTTGTTGCCCGTATACGGCTTTGAAGGGGACACCGATACTCTCGGCCTTTCCATTTCGACAATAACACTGCTCCATGTCGTTTGGCATAAACGAATAACCAACGATTTTTCCTATGAAGCATTCAAGCTCGAAATAATAGCCATTTTCGAATTTTAAAATTACTTCGGGCACTGAAATTCGAGATAATAGCGAGTTCTAAATTTCAAAATTACTTTGAAGATTAAAATTCGAGATATCGAGTCCACCAATTTTTAAAATTACTTCGAGGATTTAGATTTGAGAGAAAACTCGCAGAAAATGTAAAAAATCGAAATAATAGTGATTTCCAAATTTCGAAATTAATTTGAAGATTAAAATTCGGAATATTACAGTCTTCCAATTTTTAAAGTTACTTCGAGGACTGAAATTCGAGATAATAGCGAGTTCCACATCTCAAAATTACTTTGAAAATTAAAATTTGAAATAATAGCGAGTTCTAGTTTTCAAAATTACTTTGAAGATTAAAATTCGAAATATTAAGGTTTTCCAATTTTTAAAATTAGGTTCAAA